TAGAATTTATATTAAAATTATTTTAATCACTTCATAAGCCTAATAAATTTTTATAAGTTTCTAAAAATTTAAAATTTAATATTATAATATAATCTTTCTCACTTTATTTATTTATTTATTTATATAAAAAGTGGCTGAGATTAGGTAATCTAAAAATTTTCTGGTTCCATTAATCAACATTTTTCAAAAAAAAAAAAAGAGAAAAAAAAAGTTCACGTGGGTGAGGCTGACTCACGTGAGGACAAATCCAAGGCTACAAAACGACAGCGTTTATGTAGGGACATAATGGTGGCAGTAGTTTCTCGCAAGAGGGAGTCCAAGATATGAAACTCAAAGATCCTCACGACCCCTTCTAATTCCAACATCTTCTTCCAGTTCCCCAAATCTTTGTCGATTAAGAAATCGATGTCTTCCAGAACATGACATTTCGCACGTGCCAATTCCCACCCCTTCATCGTCATCATCCTTATTCTACAATTCTTCACCATTTCCCCCAACACTTCATCATCATCCTTGTTCCCCCGCTCGAGCCTTGGCTCTCCCACGGCGGCGCTACTTGTTTCTAGGTGGTGGAAGATTGATGGGTTCATTGGGTTGGTGGGGGAGAACCAATTTGGAGAAGTTAATATTCTTTTTATGTATTTGAACTCGGCTGCTCCGCCGTCCGCGGTGGCTCTCCTGCCGACCTCTTCCGCTGCCGCCCTCTGCTTGCCGTTCGGGAACCGGCATCGCTGTTTGGGGAATGACTTAGCCCGTACAATTATGAAATTTAAAACATACTTTTCATACGCTTGAAAATAATGCTTTTAAAATTTTAAAATTTTAAAATGGTCATATTTTTTTTATAAATTTCCAATAAAAAATATCCAAAAAAAATTAAAAATTAAAACAATGTTTCAATTTTGCAGCTATTTTTTAAAAATATTTTATAATTAAAAATTTCAAGATTTATTTTTCTTAGCTTTTAAATTGAAGTTGTATTATATTATTCATATATATTAAGAGTTACAAAAATAAAGAGAAAAAAACTGAAATATTCGAAATTAAAAAATAAACTAAGTTTTTTTCAGAGAATAATAAAAATTATAAAATTGATAATATATATATATATATATATATTATAGCACCTGTTCATGACGGACTTTGGCCGCCGGAGGAGGAGACCCTTCTTCTTTTTCTTCTGGAGGCTTTGCTTTTTGCCTCCGTTTCGACGTCGGTGTCGGTGTTGATATCGAGCTATGCATCCTGGACATCATCACGTCTTGATTTTTTAGTTTACCATACACCAATTTGTTGTTATTATTGGTAATGTCAACAAGTGCAACTTTCCTTCTCACTTGTTCTTCTTCTTGTTTCATCTCTTTGCAGATTTGGCTATTCTCTTTGTCCAAGTTAATATCGAGCGAGTGTCGATGGTGATGATGGTCGACATCTGATAGCCTCGACGACGATACTCTCGGGCTGTTCGGGAGAGATCGTGTAGTGGAAGGGGAGGTGGTGGTTTGAGGAAGAATATCAAGACCCATTAGTCTAGCCAAGAGATTTGGTGTCTTGACACTTGGAGAATCCAATGCATTGTGATCAAAGTTTGTGTTGATTTCAAGTCCCATCTGCATTTCAAAACATATGATTAGAAAATTACATTATTCTTTGAAAATTGATGCAACAAAAAGTAAAATTTACTTGAATTTCCACATTTTGTTCTTGACCCAATTCCAAGCTGTTCCTTGGTGCTACAACACCTGAAGAACAAACATGGTCTAAAGAGGATGGTTGGTGCTTATTGGGGGCTAAGTGAGTGAAAGGAAAGGAATGGGAATCAAAGAAATGAATGAGGGTGTTCATACAGCCCGGTAGAGACTGGCGGTGTCGTTGTCGGTCGATGGTGGGTCGGGGGGCTGGGCGGGGAGATGAGGTTCCTCCAAAGAGCCATTGTTTGGCCATTGTTTGAAGAGAGAAATGGGGATGGTTTGTTTATAAATGATGGGAGAGGGAGGGAAGTAGAGGCAGGTGAGTGTTGTTTGTTTTGTTTGTCATTGGGGGATGTAATTTCCTAAGCTTCTATGGTTCTGTGTCTCTGGTAAAGTCTGTTTAAGTGCTCTGACTGTCCCATGGGTGTTTGCTTGTGGGGAATTGAAATGTTTGAAAATGGGTCATGAATTTGCTATCCATTTTGAATTTGCCATGCCGAGTGCCTATTGGGTATTAAATACGAGGTATGGTCTGGTGGGGATTTGTGAGATTCAAAACTTCCGCTCACCTCAGAGTGTGGCCTCCTAGTGGGTATGGTCTTGGCGGCAGCGTACCAACGAAGACACTGAGCCTCGAATGAGAGTGGACACCAAGTGATGTGTCAACGAAGACACTGAACTCTGAAGGGGGTAGACATTGGGTGGTGTGCCAGCAATGACGGTGCACCCTAAGGAGGTGTGGACACTGGATGGTGTGCCAACAAGGATGCTGAGCCCTGAAGGGGTGTGGATACTGAACGGTGTGCCAATGAGAACGCTGAGCCTCGAAAAGGAGTGAACACCGAGTGGTATGCCAACGAGAATACTAGACCCCAAAGTAGGATGGATTGTGAGATCCCAATTGGAGAGAAGAACAAGTGCAAGCGAGAATGCTCGGTTCTCAAGGGAGGGAGATGAATGGATTATAAGTTTCCATATCGATTAGAGAGGGAAACGAAACATTGTTTATAAATATGTGAAAACTTCTCCATAACACGTCACGTTTTAAAAATCTTGAAGGGAAGTTCGAAAAAAAATCTAAAGAGAACAATATCTGAGTAGTGAGTTCAGATTTGAATTTTATTTATTTATTTTAAATTTTCAACGATCATCCTCCAATATTAAAAAAAAAAAAAACACACACACACAAAGCATATTATTTCTCTATTTTTATGATGTATAAATATAATTCAATAAAAAAAATGCTATTAACTATATAATTATTTTCTCTTAAAATCAAAATTAATTTACATATAAAATAACATATAAAATTAATATAAATTGAAAAAATAAACATAAAATATTAGATAATCTAAGACAAATATAATATACACTGAAATTATATTAAATTGATAAATTTAAAATATGAAACAAGAACATATAAAATTAAAATCTGATACCATGTGAATGTTTGATTAATCCACCACACCTAAATGGTGTGAAAGTTATCTTATTTATAATCAAATGAATTATATGAAAATAGTAATAAATGGAAATAACAATAAATGGAAAGATACCTATGATAATAAGGCAAATATCTAATATTTGTCTTATAATAAAATATCAAATATAATATATATGGTAAACTATAATTTATTACTAAATATCCTGAACAAACGGGATCGAGAAAAAGAAAAAGGTAGACGAAAATGAGAATCGAAGGACGAATTAGTAGTACAAATCCTCTTGAAGATGTGTCCTTCTGCCATGGCAGCATGAGTGCAACTCCTTGGACGTCACGAAACAAGGGTTGCGTATGGTACTCTTCTGCAGAATCACAATGAAGATGAACCCAGGTTTGGCTTAAACTTTAATGACAAGAGAAGGCCATGAGCACTTGGCTACTCTTTATTCAACTCTACTGCTCTAATAACTTTGGTCATTAAAAACTGCCTGTGTTCCTCGCTCGCAGCTCCCCGTGCTGCTACCTGCATCGTTTCACAGTCGTACTCTCTCATGTGTACATGTACTTTCCTTCGTTGGTGATTTTAGGCATGACTTACTTGTCTCTACTCTAAGCTAAGTTCTAAAATTTCGTATAGCTTCTACAATAGGTTTAAAAGGGTTAGGTTCATATTTTAAAATCTATTAAACAATGTTCAAAAGGGATATGTTTTGTGAGATCTCATATCAATTGGAAAGAAGAACACAACATTCTTTATAAGGGTGTGAAATGTTAAACGTAGAATAGATCATATATGTATATAGTAAAATAATCTGGTGGTTTACTATTTTTGTTACCAAATCTATGATTTACTGGTTTGTTAGATTTCATAGTTTTGTTACCAAATCTATGACTTCATGGTTTGTTACTCCATCTATGATTTAGAATGTAATTTTCATTATACACATCTATAAATACATGAGGACGTGACCCTAGGTGAGGTCAATGTGTCGTTCAACCTAACATGGAAAACTCCCCTAGTAGACGTGTTTTAAAACCATGAGGTTATCGATGATACGTAACGAGCCAAAGCGGACAATATCTACTAGTGATGGTCTTGGGCTGTTACAAATAGTATTAAAACCAGACACCAAACGGTGTGCCAACGAGAACACCGGCCCCCCAGGAGGTGGATTGTGAGATCCCACATCGGTTGGAGAGGAGAACGAAACATTTCTTATAAGAGTGGAAACTTCTCCCTAACAGACACGTTTTAAAACCATGAGGCTGACAGTGATGTGTAACGGGTCAAAGCGGACAATATCTACTAGTGGTGGTCTCGGGCTGTTATAAATGGTATTAGAGTCAGACACATGGCAGTGTACCAGTGAAGACACTAGCCTCCAAGGATGGGGGATTGTGAAATTCCATATCGGTTGGAGAGGAAAACTAAGCATTGCTTGTAAGAACGTAGAAACCTCTCCCTAACATGCGCATTTTAAAACCATAAGACTGATGACAATACGTAACAGGCCAAAGCGAATAATATCTACTAGCGGTGGTATCAGATTGCTACAAATGGTATAAGAGCCAAACACCGGGTGGTGTGCCCACGAATACGTTAGTCCTCTAAGGGGGGATTGTGAGATCCCACATCAATTGGAGAGGAGAACGAAACATTCCTTATAATTGTGTGAAAACTTCTCTCTAGCAGATGCATTTTAAAACCATGAAGCTGATGGCAATACGTAACAGACTAAAATAGACAATATCTACTAGAAGTGGTCTCGGGTGTTACATGTTCATAGTTTAAAATCCAAACTAAAAAGTGGATTCTGATGATTGTGTCCATCAATATACATTTATAACACTTACAGCCCAAACAGTGAACAAGAAGGATATAGCATTTATTAGAAGACATGGTGCTGTTGCAAACAATTTAAAATGAGGTCAAAGCTAATTCAACCAACCAGGAAGGAAACTCAAATTACATTGGCCTAATTGAAACAAAGCAAACACACCAAGAAAAGGGCTGTTATCATACAGAGGTGGCTTTGGATAACAAGTTTTCGACAGCTTCTTTCGTTGGTAGAGCGGGGATGGCTCCTCTCTCCATCACGGTGAGGGCACCGCACGCATTTGCAAAGCGTAGAGCGTCTCGGAGCCGTTGCTCGTCCTGCCAGAAGGAAACTCTTTTATGTGAATATGATGAACCAGTATGTAGGAGTAAAAGACATCATCATTTTGATGCATTAGGCGAGAACAAATGGAACCTGAAAGATGCTCAAATCAGAAGCTAAGCCGAACAATATCCCGCTCACGAATGCATCGCCTGCACCGGTTGTGTCGACCGAGTTGGATTTGATACCAGCAACCCTGCCTCGAAATTTCTGTATAGGACATTGTCATATGAGAAAGAATGACTATATAGGAAGTTTTGAGTTCAAACTTAAACGATCTATGGTCGAAGAATGAGACCACAAGAAAAGGAAAGATCGAACGAATTCCTAAAACGCTTACTTGAGTATAATATCTACAGCCGTGTGGCCCTTCGGTCACAATTAAAAGCTTGAAATTCGGACGAAAAAGCTTTTTCAACACTACGTTATCATCGTAGGGATCGTCTCCACCAGTCAAGAAAGTAATTTCATCCTCACTTATCTGCATAAATTTTACCAGAGAATGAAAAGAATGCTATACAATTTTCACACTTAAACAGTCCAATCCTATCGCTAACAGATATTGTCTGCTTTGACCCGTTACGTATCACCCTTAGCCTCACGGTTTTAAAACGCGTCTGTTAGAGAGAGGTTTCCACACCCTTATAAAGGGTACTTTGTTCCCCTCTCTAACCAATGTGAGATTGATATTCTCCACTTTGGTCCGTTATGTATTGTCGTAGCCTCACAGTTTTAAAATGCGTTTACTAGGGAGAGGTTTCCACTCCCTTATAAGGAGTGTTTCGTTCCCCTGTTCCCCTTTCCAACCGAGGAGGGATCTCACATAAGCAGGTACCAAAATGCTTCATAAACAAACACTATACCTTAACAATGTCAGCTTGATCCCAGATGCTCATGATGCCATCCCGAGCCGCCTCCGGTGAAGGCCACAAAGCCAATCTCAAGTTGGGATCATAAGAGAGAAGGCAGCCAGATTTTCTTGCAAGTTTCAGTGCAGCTAGATGAGCTGACTTGCTTGGTTCATCAATCAAACTAATTGATCCATAATGGAAGATCTTCGCCTGAATCAAAACGATTTCAAATTTGCAAGAAATATCAGCAAAAAAGTGTAGTGAACGGAACACGAGCTCTAGAGAAGAACACGAGACTTGCCTGCTCAATAACTTTAACCTCGAGTTCACGTTCGGTGAGAAGCATATCAGCACTTGGGTGGCGAAAGAAAAGAAATTCACGTTCGCCATCTGCTCGAAGCGTGACGAATGCCAGAGCTGTCCTTGCTTTCGAGTCAAACCGCACTCCAGAACAATCCACATTGTTTTGTTTCAAAACGTCTACCAACATATATCCAAACTCATCATCACCTACCTATAACATAACGAAAAATGGAGGCAACCGCCTTCGAACTATCAAAAACGTTCGAGGATTCAACAGTTTGATTGAATGTGAAGAGTTTAAGTGTGTGAAATTGGACCTTGCCAATGAAAGCTGAGGAGCCACCAAGCCTTGACATGCCAACAGCCACATTTGCAGGAGCACCACCAGGGGCTTTCTTGAAAGCCGGAGCTTCAGCAAGTGAAACTCCACCTACTGTTGGCACAAAATCTATCAAAACTTCCCCAAAGCAAACTACAAGGGAGTCTTTAGCTTCACATTTCCCTTCAAATCCTTTGGAAAGATCCTTAATCATACCTGTAAAAGCCAATCTCCTTGAAATCAACACTCAGAACAACATTTTTACCGTCCAAGCACACCGCTAACAGATATTGTTCTCTTTGGGCTTCCCCTCAAGGTTTTTAAAACACATCTGCAAGGGAGAGGTTTTCATACTCTTATAAGGAATGTTTCATTCTATTCTCCGACCGATGTGAGATCTCACAATCCACCCCTTTGGGGGCAGCGTCCTCGTTGGCACACTGCTCGGTGTCTGGCTCTAAGAGGTTTTCATACTCTTATAAGGAATGTTTCATTCTCCTCTCCAACCGATGTGAGATCTCACAATCCACCCCCTTTGGGGGCCAGCATCCTCGCTGGCACACTGCTCGGTGTCTAGCTCTAATACCATGTTACAACCTACCGCTAGCAAATATTGTCCTCTTTGAGTTTTCCATTTCAGGCTTCCCCTCAAGATTTTTAAAACACGTTTGTTAGGAGAGGATTACACACCCTTGTAAGAAATGTTTCGTTCTCCTCTCCAACCGATGTGGGATCTCACAATCCACCTCCCTTGAGGCCAGCGTCCTCGCTGGCACATCGCTCGGTGTCTGGCTCTAATATCATGTTAGAACCCATCGCTAGCAAATATTGTCCTCCTTAGGCTTTCCCTTTTAGGCTTCCCCTCAAGGTTTTTAAAACATGCGGAATGTTTCGTTCTCCTCTCCAACTAATGTGGGAACTCACAATCCACTCCCTTGGGGGCCAGTGTCCTCACTGGCACACCGCTTGGTGTCTGGCTTTAATACCATGTTACTGCCCACCGCTAGCCGATATTGTCCTCTTGAGCTTTCCCTTTCGGGTTTCCCCTCAAGTTTTTTAAAACACGTCTGGGGAGAGGCTTCCACACCCCTATAAGGATTGTTTCATTCTCCTCTCCAACCGATGTGAAATCTCACCAAACATCTCATATTTTCTTCAAATTCTTTGGTTTCAAGTCACAAATCAATAAATGATCTATAAAAAGAATTTACGTTAGAACATTGATAGCCAGAGCAATTTTGAATTTACACTCAAAGCAAAATCTCTACACTAATCAGAAACTCTTCTATTATCTTCTTCTTCACGCAACCACATTGAATTAGAGACAAATAGAATCAAAAGAATGAGAATCATGGGATAATCAACAACAAACGAATCTCAAATCTCAGCAAAGCTAAAAGAAACAATGAAAACCCATTAAGAATCAAACAAGTATAACAACAAAATGTCGAGAAATCCAATGACAAGCAAAACAAAAAACAAAAAAACATTTGACAAAAGACTCCGGAAAGATTCAAAGCATGATTCCAAAACGAAAACGAAAAACAAAACAGACCCAGATCAAATCGAGAAGAAAATGAAATGAAAGATCATAAAGAACAGTGTTTGAGCTGAACCCAGAAGAGGGAATCGAGAAATGAACTAAAAAAAAAAAAGAACCCAAATCGGATCAAATCGAAAACATACCAGGGGAGAGAGAATTGGCCATTGTTGGGAGTTACAGAGAGATTGAATGAAGGGAAGAGTGGAAGAAGAATTGCAGAAGAAGGAACAGAGAGGGAGTTTGGTTTGGTTTGGTTTGGTTTGGTTCGATTAGAGGAGAAGGAATGGGAGAAGAAGATGTGAAAATGGTTAAAGAAGGGTAGAAGGTGATGATGGGCAGAAAAAGTGGGCACCCACAGACAAAATTTTACCGCGGGATTCTTCTTCATTGACTTTTTTTACCTCCTTGTTTTTCTACACCGGCTTTCTTTGTGTTACTTCTTTTGCCTTTATTTATTTATTGTTAAACGGTAAATTTGGTTTTCATACTTGGAAACAACATTAAAATTCAGTAAATCTTGTGAGAAAATTTACAATTGGGTAAAATATCTATTTTTTATTTTTTAATTAACTTTAAAAATTAATTTAAATATATGTTTTGAAAAATTATCTTTCTAATAGTTTTAAATTAATCTAATTTTAGGAAACTCATATTTAAACTCAATGCACCTCGTAACCCAATTCAAATGGAGTTGATTAAACTTTTTAGGTTATCGAATTATGTGAACCCTTTTCAATTAGATTGTAATTAAATTGTTGCCTATAATAATATTTAAATTACTTCATAATTTCAAATTTTCTAAAATTTAAAATATATATTCTAAGTAAATAAATTTAATTTTTTAAAATAAAGAAATTAGAAACATAATATATTCAATAAATGAACACGTTACACATAAATAAATTCCTTAATTTAGGGATTCCATTGCAAAAATTAATGTTAAGATTCTTTATAAAAAGTTAGTGTCCATATATTTTTTTAAAAAATAAACAACAATAAAAATGAAGCCCAACTTTGTTTATTTTTTATTTTTAATTTTAAATGGGAATTTGAATACTTATCGAAAATGTAAAACTTACCATAAATTTAGTAATATTTTATATGATTAAAATATACTTTTTAAAAAATTAAAGACTAAATTATTAAAAAAAAAAATTACATTTTCACTTTGCATTATGGGTAATTTTTTTTAAATGTTTTATTAATACAATTTCGAAAATTTTATTAATATTCTTAATTTAAAAAAAAAAAAAAACTAAAGAGAAACCATAAAATTGTTTTTAAAATTTAAAAAACATTTTAATGTTAAAATCATAATAAAAAAATTAATTTTCAGTTGATACTATAAAATATATATTTTTATTAATTTAGTCAAATTTAAATTTTAATAAAATATATATTTTCAGCCTCACTTGAAACAGTTTTGCCCGAGTTGGAAGGAAATCTCTACCAAGAAAAATTAGTATTAGTGTAATTATTATTATTATTTAATTTTCTATTTAGAGTCGGCGAACCGGCAATTGTACGTACGTGTATTGAAAAAGTAGAGTGCATACGTGGCAGGCGCGAAGTCCCAACTATATATATATTCTTTTCCTTTTCTCTGTTACAGACAGTGGATTGATCGCTTCCAACGTTCATATTCCTCGTCGTCAATGGCTTCCCCCTTCCTCGGCCTCCACAATCTCCTCTCTTCCCCGCTAACAAGACGATGTTCATTCCCGTTTTCTTCCAATGGAGCTTCTTCTCAAGCAATTCCTCCTTCTACAGCTTTTGTTTCATCTCCTCGAATTGCATCTCACTCTATCGCTGTCAAGGCATCTTCGTCTTCTTCCTCCTCCTCCTCTTCTTCTCCTGCAATTGTTGCGGAGCCTTCAGGTGTGAAGGTAACTATCACGCTCGATCACTCTCTGTCTCTCTCTCTCTCTCTCTCTCTTATTTGTTCTCTTTCTCAATGAGCGCTTATTGCACGTTTTTTTTTTTTTTTTGTTTTTACTTGTTATCATTGTGATTTGTTGTTGCTGGATGAGAATTTTATTTTGATTCATGGATTTTGTGTGTTTGTGTTTTGGTTTGCATTGCTGTTGATGTTGATTACATGATGTGTATGTTGGCTTTCCAGATTGATTTCATTCCGACAAAGCCGATTGAAGGCCAGAAAACTGGAACCAGTGGTCTCCGGAAGAAGGTGGCATATTTTAAAGGATATTAGCGCGTGAATTTCGATGATTATTGATTTACTGTTAAAAAAAATTAAAGAAGCCGAAGGAGAGGATGGTAAAATTCCGTATAACGAGTTCTGTATGAGCACTGGAAGTTTCTAATTTGAAGCGAGTTCGTTAATGGATTGATAATGTGGATGAACTTGTACCATCTGCCGTGGTTGTTCAATGGCGGGAAAACGGCCAACAAGCGGTTTAATGAACCATTGCTGTTCTTGTTTTTAGAATTTAGTCTTCGATGTATTGATGTAGTGCTTATTGAATTATCCCTGCCCTTTATCATATTCTTGGGATTTTTGTGGCATTGTGCCTTCACTCACAACTCACTTTGTTAATTTACATGTCTTTTAGGTGAAACTATTTAAGCAGGAAAATTACCTTGCAAATTGGATCCAGGTTTGAATGTTTGCATTCTGCAGGCAATGTTAATCTATGATATCTCATCATGAGATTGAAGTTTGTGCTACTTGAGCATTTTGCTTCTGCAGGCATTGTTCAATTCTTTGCCACTAGTGGATTACAAAAATGGGCTGTTGGTTTTAGGAGGCGATGGTCGCTATTTTAATAAAGAAGCTGCGCAGGTCTCTTCTGGAGCTGTTTCTTCTTGATTGTAGTTTAGTTTCCTTAGAACTTATCAATTAATTTTCGCAGATGTATTGCAGATTATCATCAAAATTGCTGCAGGAAACGGTGTTGGGAAAATATTGGTCGGGAAGTAAGTAGACCTACCTTTGAGTAATTTCCACATACTATGACCTTTTCTTGTATTTTGGAGTTCTGTATTGTAAAGTTAACCCAGCAATTCTCTTGTTTTATACATGCATGTATCGAGTATGTTTTGGTATGGGTCACTAAATGTGCATGCTTTCTGTTTCCCCTATCATGGCTAAACTCATGGATGCTTGTTTTCACTTTTGTTTTTTAAAAAGAGAATACTCAGTAATCATGAAAAGATAATAAAAAAAAATTAAGGGAAGATACCCTACGTAACCAAACCCCATGGAGCTGTTTAGCAATTTATTTTGCAAAATAGATTTTGAGAAATTATTTATAGAACTGTGAATAAATATCTTGTGGAGGTTGAGATTATTGTGCGCTTGAAATTTTTGTTTTTTCAATGGTAGTAAAGCTAAACGATTTTAGCTTTGGATTTAAGGAAGTGCCTAGTAAGCATAGTCATATACCGTAAAGGAAGGCTGACATGGTAGTATGTGATCAGAGACATCAAGTGGACAGTCTACCATAAATTGGCAGAAAAAGGGTGTTTGAGGAACATGTGAGCTTATATTTCTTTGCTTGCATTAGCAGCATTGGTTGGGACAGGTTGAATGCTTGTGGCTTTGAGTTCTTTGACCAACACCAAATCCCCCAACACTGAACTCCATCAGAAGGATTTCACCTTGTTTTGGGCATTTAACTATCCAGATGGCTGTACAAGGGCCAAAAGACCAGAATCAAGTATGTGGTTTCTGCTATTAACAATAATAATTAAGCTAGCCTCTTCAATGGCTCAATCGTGAATATAAATCTCAACAATGAGTCATTTGGCTTCTAGTGGAGGCACAACTCAAACAGTCTAGTCTAGGGATTATCATGATTGAAGTGTTAGGAGTCCCACCAAATGTTCTTCAAATGACGTTCCTTATTTTTTTGAACCAGAAATGAGACTTTCCATTGAAGAAATGAAAAGAGACTAATGCTAAAAAATACGAACTCCACAAGGTAGCAACATATTATAAAGGAAAGTTATGGAGGAGATATAAAAGCATGCCAATAAGGTAGCAACATATTATAAAGGAAAGTTATGGAGGAGATATAAAAGCATGCCAATTTAAATTAGTATCAAATAAGTAAGGCTTCGATAGATAACATCATGAAGATGCCTTCAAATAAGTAAGGCTGCTTGTCTTTGAAGATTCTTTGATTCCTTTCCATCCATATTTCCGAAGAATTCGCCACATTAACTCGCACAAAATTGGGTTCAGAATTGTGCAAATTTTTCAGAAAGGAAATCTTATGATATGTTGGGAATTTCTTATGATAACCATCCACATCTAAAGCGTATCTTAATGCCTGAAAATTGGGTAGGATATAATATAAGGATTATGTTGCCCCCAATTTTTATGAAATACAAGAGGGTAGGATGTAATGTAAGGATTATGTTGCCCCCAACTTTTATGAAATACAAAATGCTCATTAAATAATATGAAACTAATCTTCACTTCGACAACTCAAGATATTCAAATACATTTGTACGTTCTCTTATAGATATAGCATAGTAATTGAAGTCTCATTCATCTTATTATTATTGATTTAAAATATAAATAAAAAAAATACAATTAGAGATTCGGTGAGATTATCAAATTTTTAAGATACTTATTTTGGATGAGCCGAGCTAATGGGATGAAAAGGGGAAAACACTGTCCTTTAAAATTCCCAAGAAGGTAAAATTATGTGGAAGGTCCCTCATGGCAGGGTTAATACCTTGGATCAAGTTCAGAGGAGTTCATCTCACTTGATAGGCCTTCAATGTTGTATCCTTTGTAGGGAGAGGATCTTGATCATCTCCTGTGGACTTGTGAGCTCACTCAGTGTGGAGCTGTTTTCTCGAGACATTCGACTTTAGCATGGTTCAGCCTAAATGGTATAGTTCTATGGTGGAGAAGTTTCTTCTTTGTCCTCCCTTTCATGGAAAGAGTTGTAGAGGATTGAGAATCTGTGGGTTGAGATGTGGTCCTTGGTTAGGTTTCACATCTATCTTTGGGGCCTCGGTGTGTATTGCTTTTCGTAATCATCCTTGTAACCAATTTTCTTTGAGATCATTGAGACTATAATTTGTGAGGGGGAATATAATTTTTGCCGAGAGGGAGCCAGTGTTTGATTGTGATTCTCTTGAATTTTTATTTGTAAACCTGAAATTAAAAAAAACTATTGTTTTTAGCTAATACCAGTAGCCAGATGAATGCAATGATGGCTATGACACTTTTATTTGGGCATTACAAAAAGTTAAATATAATAGAATGTGTGTGAAATAGAATGAAATTTATATGATACAGGGAAGGTATTTTGTCCACTCCAGCTGTCTCTGCTGTAATACGAAGGAGGAAGGCAAGTTTGTTCTATAGGGTTATGAAATGATCAAGCATTTTGGTGTGACATTTAATTTTCTCCTTTGCCTTCTGCATTATTCTGTGTTTAATTCTCACAGGCCAATGGAGGATTTATAATGAGTGCAAGTCACAATCCTGGTGGGCCTGAATATGACTGGGGTATTAAGGTAAATTTTCCTTGTTCATTTTTGTACTGTGCTATATCTTTAGTTAAACTGAATTGTTGGTCAAAATGCAACTTTTAAATGAAGCTTATTTTTTTGGTCGCAAAAATCATGATGTTAGTGGAACATTTTGATCTTATCTTATCCACGAAAATTAGTATAGGTAGTTGTAAGATTGTAATCTGACTTAATTGTATTGACTTTTCAGTTTAATTATAGCAGTGGGCAGCCTGCACCTGAATCAATTACAGACAAAATATATGGAAACACTCTTTCTGTAAGTATATGTTTCTGCCTTCGTGATTGGTTCATTTATTTAGATTTTTTTGGTCAAGTATCTTGTCTGCTTTCTAATTGATCAATTATCCTGTTATATGCTTATTGCATTCAATGTCTTGTACACTTTTTATCCTCTTGTTGTTTAGATTAAAGTTCTCCTTGAGCCATTTCGGTCCTTCTCTAGTAAGCTCCCAATTTGTTTGTTTGGTCTCCTCTTTCAGCTTTGTTGCCATCTCTTACTTTCTTCACTTCCTGATGGAAATAAAAATCTCAAATAACATTCGCTTCTTTTCTTTGGTTGGTTGCTTCGGGAAATATTAACTTTTGACGTCTTGCAAAAAGCCTCCTGTCATGGCATTGGCCTGAACTGGTGTGCTTTGTGTTGGAGCAAAGTTGAGGATCTTCATTTACTGTGGTTGTCCTTTTTCCACTAGAGTGTGGAGGTGTTTTTGGTTGGGATAAGTTTTACCATTTTCTTTTGCTGGGGTTGGATATTCGTGAAATGTTGGAGGAGGACACGTTGGACCTGATCTCCTTTCAGAGGGAGGGGTTTTGTTAATTTGCAGTTTTGTGGTTTATTAGGCTGGAAAGGAAGAGAAGAGTTTCTCAATTATGAAGGACACTTGCATAGTTGCTGGTGCAGACAATTGATTTCTAGGGTAAAAAACATATTTCATCCCCAAAGAAACTATTCAGTCCCTAAACTTTTGTATGCAGTATGAGAACCAAGTATGTTTTAGACCTAATTATTTTAAAAAAAAAAACTCATTATATTGATTTGAGAAGACAATAGGAGAAGAATAGTGCTGGGTCCAACAATGATGGTGAAAACGAGTTAATCAATTGGCATATGCCATAAACAAGGATCATTTTGAAACTCTTTTATTATTGATATTAACTTCTGACCGCATGCCTTTTTTTCTTTGATGGTCAATAAATTACTTAACTAGGACTTGTATGTGTCCCTATCTTCTCGTTTATAAAGCCTTCTTTTCTTTTTATAAGGAAAACAAAGTGATGTTACTGAATACATTAGATTCCAGAATATTGCATTTTAACCCATGGCTTTTCCTATTTGATTTCATGTTTATCACTCTAGCATCAGTGTAACTCTTATATTGGCGACCCCCTTTACTATCTTATGAGGTTGTATTTGTGCAAGTATTTTGCAGATATCTGAAATAAAATTTGCCGATATTCCTGATGTTGACCTCTCTCGCCTTGGAGAAATTAAGTATGGGAACTTCAGTGTTGAAGTTGTACATCCTGTTTCTGACTATTTGGAGCTGATGGAGGTGATTGATACCCTCGCACACACCACAAAAATGAAAAGGAAAAAGAAAACATGAAATATTTAAATATTAAATATGATTATTCCCGAGGATTAACAGAAAGATATGGATCTTCTGCAGAATGTATTTGATTTTCCACTCATAAAAAAACTGCTGTCACGTTCAGATTTCAGGTTAGAGTTTTTAGTTTAATGCCTATAATAAGTCTTGGTGGCGTGTTGGTATCTTTCCAAAATTAAACAATTTTCTATCCCACAGAACGCTGGGCTCGGCCTGGAGCTGACAAAATGTCAGTGGTGCTGACAGGTTTTGAATGTGTGACATTGACATTACCAGACTTTAGAGCCAATTGCACTGATATTTTTTTTTTTTTTTTTATT